AACTATCAGGAAAAATTTTAGTGGCACAATAAAGACTAAACTCCAGGAGACTATCCTTAGTTTTTTTCTTTTTTTACCAAAGCCCAAACGATATAAGGAAGACAGAAAAAGGGGTCTTTTTAGCAGCGTGCGACTTTCCTCCAGTTCTGTGTAACACAGACAATGGAAGCTCATGGGTAATCATACTTCAACAGTTGATTCCTACCTGATTTTTCAGGTGGACAAGCTAAACAATCTCTTCCAGTACCACCAGACAGCTGTAAAATGTGGTGCTTTCCTTTACATGACATGACATACAAAGCATGCAAAGTAAAGCTGGTCTTTAAAGTAAAGCAGGAGCACATCAGATTTGGTACTTCAGAAAAACCACCTCCACCATGTCTGTGCCAGCTTCTTACAGAACACTGTGGCACTAGGGGAGGAGAAATGTGAAATAAAAAGCAGAAGGATGAAAACTCTTGCCTTAATTACACTACTTTTATTAATATGCCATCCATCACAGTTCATTTTTTGCTTCCAGACAGCTACAAGCAGCAAGCTGGCTTCAATAGGATGACTTACGTGCATGGCTATAAGCAAAACATCAGGCTTCTGATTAATAATGATTTAAAACAGAACATAAAAAACTAATCCAGAAACAAGCAAAAACTTACCCAACAGTAGGATTCATAGTTTTAATATAATCATAGCATCTTCCAATGACAATACTTTCCAGGTGTTCTGTTGTACCTTCGCCTTTCCATTTCCTTCCCTGCACTTCTGAGAAGCTGTTCATAACCAGAACACAGACAAGTAAGAGGGACAAAAAAAGGCTCTTCATAATGAAATCTTGACAACCCGAGTTCTTAAAAAAGAGATGGGGGAAAAAAGAGAGTTAAATGATACAATTTAAATGGAAACCTGGAGGCTTAAAATTTAGTATTTGCAATACTGGGTATAGCTCTGAAGACAAAGGACAAAGTTAGACGGAAATATGAATCTTGGCGGGGACTGTGATCTGTTTCCTGGATTGATTGCAGCACAGGGACACATCACTTCCTCGTGCCTAACTGTTCCCCACTTGAGAAAAACAAGACTTCTAAACTCATGATATTGCCACCTCGTGAAAACTGGAAAGAATTACAGCACATTTCAGTAAAGAGAGGGAAAAAAACTTTACCACTTCAGTACTTACGATGTTTTAGGTTTGTTTAATACCCTGCTACATGTTCCTAAAATATCACCAGTGCTGGAACGTAACATGTTTTAAGCCAGTTTCTTTTCATTTCAAAAGGGCTATATTTTTTTTGATGTATATCTCTAATGGCTTAAAGAAAAATGCTGAAATTCACATAAAGAACAAAAAAACCAACCTGAAACATGCAGGTAAAGCCCAATTGCAGACCAGTGACTGCATAAATACGCAAATTCTCTGGTGATCTTGTATCACACATAAGGTAACAGCTCTTCTTCCACCTCTCCTCTGGACACTGACAGAAACATTTTTGTGCAACACTATGTGTTTTAAAGACTTTTTCATTAACAAAACTGCCTTG